TGCCTTCTATTGCTAAAGGGGGTGTTGAGTAATCAAAAGCTTTAGGAGGCAATAAGCTGCTCCTAGGTTATGAATTATTGCTGATGTGTCAGGGGAAAAACTCAAACTTGTCATTTGCTGTAAAAAAAATAAATATATTGCCTAGCAAGTTATAAACTTCATTTATAAATCAATGACTGTAGCTAGAAAGGGCAACCAATTCTTGTTTTCTATTTTGGCAATTAAATAACTTGGGCTTGATTGAGTGCTTGATGTCACTTAAAAAATAGCACATTCGTAACTTTGGATTTTTTTAAAAAGAGTCACTTAAATCTTTTCTTGAGTCTGCCTATATCTGTTGTAAAGAGTATTAGTGCAATAAGACAATTTCTGAAGTGAATTTTTGGAGTGTTTTTAGACTGTCCCTGCAACTGTAGTTTCTTCTCTTACCAATAAACTGCACTTGCTGCAGTGACCAGCTGGCCATGAAAATAAGGGATTTTAGGTACAGGGAAAGTGAGTGTGGTTTGCACAACTATTGAGATTTTAATTGTGACTTGTATGAGTGTCATTCTCTGGTCCTCTCTTTTGACTGTTCCCCACAAGGTGTGTGTTTTGAATAGCTCTATTTTCAGACTGTGATCTGAAACACTTAATTTACAAATAAACCTGTAGTAAGGTAGCTTCCAAGCCAACTGTGTCCCTTGAAAGGAAAATATGTTGGGTTTTGTGACTTTTAAAGAGAGCTGATTGCCCAGGGTGTATCTGTGGAGTGGAACCTCAACCTGATGCTAGAAAACTTTGCAAATGCCTTGCCTAATTTATAAATTTCTGATGGACAGATATTTGAGTGTGGATGTATTAAAAAGATCCTGTGATTGGCAGTCAAACCACTAAATCTGAGATCTCTGAGCCTTCCATTTGCTGACCTGTCTCAAGCTGGTTTTGTGCTGCTGGTTTGGTATTTAACTCCTCTCCTGCTTTCACAACACCACAAGTGAGGGCTGTGCCAGCCCCCCTGGGCATTGTGCCCCCTCAATGCTGGGTTGCAGCTGAGCTTGAAGATCACAGGATGGGATTTTTTTGCTTCAGAAAGTGATCTCATGATTTGCCAGCATCATGATCTTGAGCTAAATTCTCAGTCATTCTATTTTTGCAAGCTTAACAACTAGGAAAAGCTGTCATGTTAAGATAATTTGCTTGGAATATATTGGATGATATTGGCAAAATAGATAGTAGTGTGTGGTATTGATCTCGTGCATTCTTCCATTCTGTTCTCCTGGAAAAGTGTGTGCACACTGGAAATGTGGGCTCTGTGCTGAGTCTGAGCTGTGTCTCCTCCTGTTGGATGTGGAGAAATGTTCTGCCACTTGTTAAACACCACGGAGACACGTCAGGGAAAGTGCTACAGAAACTGAGCTTGGCTGTCAGGGTAGGAAGTGTTCAGCTGTACTGCCAGACCTACAGCAGGAAATTACCTTTAACAGCTCATAAATCCATTGAAATCCTTGTCTCCAGTCATTAACAGCCTTTCTGATGCTTCTGAAATTGCTCTGCAGCTCACCAGAACAAGCTGGAAGAGATGATTAACGAGTTAGCAGTGGCCATGACAGCAGTGAAGCACGAGCAGGAGTACATGGAGGTGCGGGAGAGAATACACCGAGCAAGTAGGTGCCAGCCCAGCCCCTGCCTTCCCCTCTGCTCTGACCTGGGAATGGCCATCTAAACACCACTCCATGAAACTGTGCCCACTGACTTCAAAAGTAACCATGTAAATCCTGCAGGGCCTGACACACAGTAAAGAATGGAGGTGGTGCTTGCAGTCATCTTTAAATTGGCTTCCCCTCGTTGTTATACAAAATAACATTTGCTTAAGTGATGTAAATTCTGCAGTTGTTTGGATGGTGTTATTTAATCCATGTACAAGGGCAGGGTGAGCCATTGGATGGTTTTAAATTGAAAGGGAGGAGGTTCAGATCAGATACTGGGGAAAATTCCTGCCTGGGAGTGTGGTACAGCCCTGGCACAGCGTGCCCAGAGGAGCTGTGGCTGCCCCATCCCTGAGATTGGATGAGTTTTAAGGTCCCTTCCAACCCAAACCATTCCATGATTTGGTTCCCAAACTTTGGTTGAACTGTTACTTCACCCTTGAAGTGGATGTGGTTTAATAATTGAGCCAAAATCTTTTTTAAATGTTTTGTTGAAATAAAACAAAACTACTGTTACTTTCATGGGTGAGAATCAAGGGCAAGTATTTTTCATGTGAAAACACAACATTCTATAAAAGCACTGTCTCCTCAATTATTTGAAGCTATGAATATCTCCAGTTTTGTGACATTTGTTACTAAAAGTCTGAATGTTTAGAACCAAAGATGGTGACCCCTCTGAGATCAGCAGTTCCTGCTTGACTCTGAAAATGCAGGTGGCTTTGTTTGGCAGCTCAGATGCCAGAAGGGTGGGCAGAACAGAGACAGATGCTGCAGTGCATGTCCAAAGTGGGTTTAAAAACAAACTGTTCAGGAAAATCCCCCTCAGATCTCATCTCTGTGATGACCTGACACAAGCCCAGTGCTTCCTGTGCAATGCTCAGATTCATGGCAGAATGTTTGCAGTTTAAATGCTTTGTTACTAACTACTTTTTTCTTTTTTTTTCCCCAACAGTTAATGACAACACAAACAGCAGAGTGGTTCTTTGGTCATTCTTTGAAGCCCTTGTACTAGTTGCCATGACACTGGGACAAATCTACTACCTGAAGAGGTTTTTTGAAGTCCGAAGGGTGGTGTAAGATCCTTCTGTGGTCTCAGATTTCAGTTCACTCTCTACCAAACATCCTGGTCACAAACTAAAAAAAAAAGTCATTTAGTTTCTGAACCCTCTTTACTGAACTGTAAAACTTATTTGCTTATGTTCCTTCCTAGTTAAGAAAAAAAAAAAAGGAATTGTTTTTATATATCTTCCGTAGCAAAAGCTGTGCTGAAATCTTGTCACTTTATTGGCATCATTTTGTTCCACTGAGATCTGCCCAGTCTGTGTGCTAAGCAAGGTCCAGGCAAGCTGCAAACTCTGTAACTCACTCCAGTAAAGCTCTTCTGTCCTTTCTGACTTCTTTCCCTGTTTGCAGAAGCACTTGCCCTTCTGCCCAGGGAAACGGTACAAGGCCCTAAGGTGACTGTTTGCATCCTCACACCCTCAGCCCTGCAGTAGGTGTTACCAACCTGAAATAATCCCTTCTCCACTCACAGAAACTGCCAAGGAAAAGCTTAAAATTCATACCTAGTTGCTATTTAAAAGATAGTCATCAGCAACTGTCTTAATGATACCAACTTCTTCCCAAAGTTCTTTTTAATTAAATAGTTGATATAAAAATGCTTTTTTTTTTTGTTCTCTGCTCATCACCAAATGTTCCTTACACGGTTTTTAGTCTCTCAGAGGTTTTATTTGGAAGCCAATTGTGTGCAGTGTCTTGGCAAACACTGGTGAACCCTTTGGCTTTTGCAGGTCCAAAGCTCAGACTGTTTGCCCGGTGCCCAGGGCAGAAAGTTCAGGAATTCTGGGTTCCTGAGGCCAGAGGGTTCTGGATCCTGGGGGTTCAGTCCACGCTATGCAGCCCTTGTATTTAAGTGCAGTGGCAAACTCTGCCATGATCTGATCAGAATTAGCATAATGCTAAATACTGGTGTGTTTTCTTTTTTCAGGCACATGTAGATTTGTTTTTGTACAAAGTTCCTTTCCTCGGTTCTCTGATGATTGGTTTAAAAAATTTAAGAAGCGTCTGATGTGGGTGCTGAGCCAGGATTATGTTGTGACTGATGTATATTAGTTGTAATCATTTTTGGGGGTGGGGTGGGGTCTTTTCCAGGGGGGATCCTCTACAAGTAACACACAACAGTTTTGTACAATTAATTTAAAATTTGTTACAGGTTTTCATGTTCCAGGTAAAGTTTTTTCAACCTCGGGCAAACACTTGCAGCAGTTCTTCAGAGAGGTGGCTGTTACACCTTATTGCAACTGTTGTGTGCCAATATTTTTGTGTAAAACACTGAAAATTGAATTCTAAGATGTACATTTAAAAAATTGCTCGTGAATCTAAATATGACCCAGGTTCGATAAATAAACAAATTCTTTAAAAAAAATAAAAAGCAGCTTTGTGGTTTTTTTTTTCTTTAATACCTTAAGGAAGTTAGTTTAACACAAAGGGGTTTTTATAAATTATTTATTAGTGGCCATAAATTGAACCACAAGAAGTTCCATATCAATGTGATATGAGCGCTGGAAATGCCCAGGGAGGTTGAGGATTCTCCCTCTGTGCAGACATTCCAAACCCACCTGGTGTGTTCTGTGTCACCTCCTCAAGGTGACCCTGCCTGGGCAGGGGGCTCGGACTGGATGACTCCAGAGTTTTCTCACAATCCTAACGATTCTGTGATTCTCTGCTTCCTTAAAATATCAGGAATTTATCCAGAGTCCATCCAGAATAAATATCAGGTAGCTCTGAACCTACAGCTTAGGTTTGGGGTACTCGGGTGGCACAGCGCTGCTGTAAGACCCTCAGAAGTACTCACTGCGATAGGCAGCTCGCCGTAGAAATGGGAATTTTTGGTTAAATCCGAAATTTGTTTTTCGCGGAGGAGGTGGGGCGCGGCGGAACTGATGTGCGGCGGAACGGAGGTGCCGCGGTTGTGTTTCCGC